GCTGATGTTGACTTTCAAATTTAGTCAGGAAGCTTGAAAGGTTATCAAGCAATAAAAGAACATGCCTGGAGGAAGAACTAGTACATCCTAACAATGCAGCCACAACAGCACCAAATGAACTACATCTGCCCATGAGTTATGTCACACAGCCTGCAGGCCCCCTTCAGCCTCGTGACAATTGGAGCTAGGGCATATATTATTCTTCATGATTTAAAAACCTAACATAAAAGCAAAATCTGAACCAAGAATGTAATAACTGGTACTTCAAGGAAATAGGGAAGTTGTAACATAGTTGTGGCTGAAAAAAAACAGGTTTCTTCTGACTCATTTAAACATTATGCAAGATTGTAATTAAAGAGCTGGAAGATTGGAGAGGTTTGGCTATTTAAGTAGTAGGAGGCTGAGAGTCAATGAACCTCAAATGTGTCATATAGACCTCACAGAAAGGCACAGAGGAGAAATGACTAATTTTACTTCTCATTTCCAAAATGTCACACAGAAATTCAGAGTATTGTCTGATCTACAGGAAGTGGCTTCTTAAAAGAAATATCCATATCTTGTCTAATAAGAACACGTGTGGCTCCTGTTCACTGAGGTTGGATTCCAGACAATGCTCATGTAGGATTAGGTTAATTAACCTGAGAGGATCATAATGAAATATCTCCTTAGCTGGAGAAGACACAGAGGAACATCTGCTGTCCTAAACCAGGATGAGTCACACACCTTACACTGCCAGGTCACATGGGAATAAAAGATAGAATAAAACAGCTTGGACACTGGTGTGACAGGGAGCCTGGTGTGTTACCAGGACTGAGCACAGCACAAGATTATCTGTTCCTCAAAAAATGAAGAAAAAAAAGTGACAAGAATATCAGTTCATAGCTCTGTACATCTTTTTGCCTTCAAAGCGCAGTGTGTAATCTATTATATATCTACACTGCTAAGGCTTTGAAATAATATTGTGTACATATTTCTGGAACAGGTAGATTTGCTTTAAACTACAGGATACTACAGGCAAACAGCTCTAAAAGACAAAATTACTTTCTTGTTTATAATATTCCGTATTAATTTTTGTAAAAATATTTCTGCCAGTCAAAACATTATGCACTGATAGTCTTAAATCTTTGCATTATTCCCATCATGTCATGTACCTTAAATTCAGTTACTCAAATTCAGGAGGGCTCATTTTAACCCACATTAATGATTATTCAAAGAAATAGGGGTTTTTGTTTTAATATTAGATTTTAAGAAGGAGCATCATTTCTCATGTAAGTTAAGTAAATACAGCTCTAGACTGATAGAAAAGTTAACAAGGTCATACTGCTTTCTAATTCTTTAAATCTGGTACTTTGCTCTATCTCTCTGCCTCATCAGCTCTTCATCTCTTTTTCAAATCTCATTGGAAAACTAATTTCCCCCTTGCCTCCACTGCATGGTTATTTTCTCATTTTTATTTATTAATTCAACTCTAAATCATACTGGAATGGACAAAAAGTAATATCTGACATCCCACATATCCTGTCCACTCATTGTCCTATGGAGGTGGGTTAAATCTTTCATATGAAAATAGCCTATGAGCTGCAAATTGAGTCTCCCAACAAAATGAAGTATTTTGCCAAAGGGATTTGGCTTTAGTGTAAATTTAATCAAAAGACAAGGAAGCAAAGAAATATCAACCAGCCCCACCTCCCCCAACATCTTGATTCAGAAGATATTCTCTACTTTCTCTATTTAGAGATATTGCAATGACTTGGATATTGCTAGGGTACATTCCATTAAAATCTCTTCTCTATAGACAGGCTCCCTTAGCTAATTATATATTATTTTGTGTGTAATAGAAAGTATAATCCAGCTGGTGTATTTGGGTCATATGAGAGAACAAACAATACAGTTGCTGATACTGGTATGCTTGATACAGCTCTCAGGGAGCATTAATTTTTGATGATTAACTTCATGGGGCTGGGGGGAAAAGGGGAGGAATAAGCGTTTTCCAGTTCAGCTGCACAACCTGAAGTGCAGCTGGTATGGTTTATATCCACTGTGTTCTGTGTTTCCTTTCCCAGGAGGGAATTCCTACAGAAGGACTCAGTGTCATTACAAGCCTCTAACAAGGCCATATCTTATCCCACTCCTTCATCTGTCTCAAACATGCAATGTTTTTGATGACAGGTAAAGAGATTATGATGCCCTGGAATCTTGCAAAGAGTACAAGCTTTGGTCACTGTCTGAGTGACAGTCTTGAAGCATAAAAGTTTACTGCTGTTAGCAATGAAACTGAGATTATATTGTTGCATGGAGTTTGATTTTTAATGGGAAAGACAATACTGCCCATGAGAGATTTTTTCTTTTAGAAATTGTGGGCAGTTTGTGGATGATATCAAGGGATTATAAAGTATAATGTATAGACAACAGGGTGCAGAATGGGGCAGACATCCTGTATCAACAGAGATAATTTGCAATGTTTACTATCTGAAGAGTCCAAAGAAGGTCTATGAAGAAATGCTTTTATAAGTACATCTTAGATCTCAAAGGGCAAACATTTAACTGAGTCTCTGTGTGTAACTGTAAAGGTTCACCTATCATTTAAGGTGACAAATGTTGCCAACTGTATAGGTTTCAGAATTATTATTATTATTACTGTGACAGAACTCATAGCACCTTGAGCTGAATGTCTAGGGATTTTTGTTCTCTCACAGGTCAAATCAGCTCTCTAATTATGTCCTAGGCTAGTTTATGTTCACCACATTTGTGACCCAAAAGCTGCAGAATGAACTGACCTCTTGTCACACAACAACATAAAAATGTACCAGTGCATTCATAAACAAGAAACTAAAAACCTGTACAGTCCATACAGAACTAGCTCACAATGGAATTTTGTTAGTCACAGGATTTTCATTCTACAGGCAGACAGAAAGCCAAACAATATTTGGTTATGATCCTGAATGTTCTACAGTAATTCACTGAATATTGTTCTGGATATGCATGGAAAGATGCATCTCTGTGTTCTGCATTCTCCATCTCCAATTTGTCTTATGACATTGTTGGAAACTGCCCCATTTTGGGGACTGCTTACAGTTTATTTGACAGCTCTTTGATTTCTGAAGTTTACATATCTTTCAGGAAACTCCAGGAGCCCATGGCAAGATATGACTTCCATTTATGACCCACAAAATTCCTACTGGTTATAATTAAAAGCAGACACGGTCCCTTAATGTACTGCCCAGTGATATATTGACAATTTTTCAAATGTCAACAAGGTATCTTAAAAGAAATAGCAGTAAATACTTGTAAAACTTTAGAATCCTGCATAATTCTTCAAAGTTTCACAAAGTTAATAAACTGATATTATCAGATGAATTTGGAGGATTGATTGAGTGTTTGTATTTGCTGGAGATGTTCAATTTCTTACATTGTATATCAGAACAAACCCTCTTTTCTTTATTAAACACAAATGACAGGTAAAAAGGGATAAAAACAGGACTGCAAAAGTTGTTCCATTTTTCTACCTAGTGTGTTTATTAGTATCTAAGGTTACTGGTTTCTGCATTTTTCTTACCTCCCTAAGACATTAACAAAATTTCTGACCTTTTCATATTTAACATGTTCTTCAACTTTAGCAGCATTTTTTACTCTCTACTACAGGGATGCCTTTGTGGCAAATTCATACTAAATCCAGCAGACAATTATTTCACTTTCATCACATTTCTTGTGGGTGTGCAACAACATCCCTATTTTGTCACTTCTGCTGAAAACATGAATGCCAATATTCCCCTCTTTGAGGGTTACTGGGAAGCCTGAGAGATTACAGCTTCACTTGCTATGTCTACCCCCGACAAGACACAAACTATGCTATTTAACACACAGAGCTCCAAGGTGAAGAAGAACTGGAAGATGCCAGTAGTGCATTTTATCTCCCCACACCTAAGAGGGAAGAGAAGTAGTTAGAACATACTCCTTCTATATTTTAAAAAGGTGGAAACAGAAAATGCTTTGTAAAAACAGACAGGAGTTGTTTAAACTGTATATAACAAAGGGCCACAAAGCCTGTGTATGTAGTCTTGCTGCACAAAGATCAAGGCTAAGTAATATCTAGATCTCTAAGGAAAGCTGTTTGCCTCGTCACTCAGCCATGGCAGGTATTGGCAGATAATCTATTGATAAAGGATTTTAATAAAGATATAGAGAAGCTTTATAATTTACCATCCATACGAATGGTTATGGGTCTTTGGAACTGTTCCTCTTCAACTGAATAAAATCTCACAATTTCTCATGTTCAATATCAACAAATGAAACAAAGGAACTTCAAGTCATGCTGTGGCTTACTATGGTAATGGATTAAAACCTGAAGGACTTCCTCTAGTGTAGGAAAGTAGGGTTTCCTTGCTTTGGCTACCAAATATTCTAAGCAATCTGTCTTTTCCCTCTAACACTGCTATTGAAATTGTTTGGATTTCTTTCCCAGTTTACCCTTTTTTTCTGCATCATTAAAGCTGCAGCAATAGAGAAGTGCAATCAAGGAAGAAAATCCTCAGTTACTTACAGAGCCTAACATCCCCAAATCTTTCTTTCATGACTGTATTTCTGTCCTTTAAGCACAGATTATTGCTTTATTTAGCAAATGAAATCATGTTCCCATTCTCCTTAATTCTGCTGCTTCAGTGTCATTCTAATGTGACATTTTTAGAGTCCATAAATCAAAATATGTTCAAGCATATGATCCATTTACCCACGTTTATAAATGTGGCTACCATTTGACAAGTATGTGTACGGTCTGCTTGCTGTTCTACTTGATTCTGATGTGAAACAAGACAGTCATTAACAAGTTAGAAGTAAAACAACAAAAAAATCCAGTACAAAATAAAACGTCTACTTTAGCATACATAGCATTGCGTGTGGGATCAAGTGAAAAGTTTAAAGTGTTTTTAAAAAATACTATTAAAAATATAAAACACATTGATCTTTAGGATCTGAGTTTGGGTGATGCTGTAAGTGAGACCTACTTTCTCATAGTACTTGATCTCGTAGTCCAGAATTGCTCCATGGGGAAAGTCCGGCTCTTGCCAGGAGAGGGCAATGCTGTTTTGGGAAGCCCAGTCCTTCCTTACCATACCTATCAAGGTGGGTGCTGAAAGGGAAAAGGATAACTAAGGGTTAAAGACGAAGCACACGGTTTATCCTTTCAACCTACTGTCTGAGGACACCAACCCGAGGTGACTTTGAGTGACCTCCAGACAGCAAAGCATGACAGATGGCAATTGTCAGGGAAACCATATAACCTGGAATTAATGTCTCAAGCACACACTAGTAACTCCTTTGTTGAAGTGCAGAGCAGCTCCTGAAAAATGGCTGTATGCAAAAATACAGAAAGAAATGCCTGTGCTGGTCCCTACCACTGGCTGGGCACAACCAGGTGGCACTGCTGGCTCTGAGGGCATCTTGTCCAGAGCAGAACCACATTTCAGAGACAGTAAATTCTACATTCAGGTTAATCTTCATTTAATGGTATAATTCCAATGTGTACAACGTACATTCAAATTTACTCTTTGGGGTATTTCTGTGAGTTGGGCTGGCAGCAACAGGGAATTCAGCCCTTTGGTGAGGTGTCTGTGTGCATGGAAGAGCCAGCTTGTCAGGGACTGAGCTGTGGGCAAACTGTGGGGGCAAAGTTGCCCCCAAACCCACCTGCCATAATTGCTGTTGCAGGTCTGCAGCAGCACAGTGAGTCGGAACTGCCTCCAGCAGCTTCTGGGATCCAACACGCATGGAATGGATGCACCCAAGAGCCAAATTATCTCACTACGAGTTTAACCAATTTTAAGATATAGTTTTTCTGCCCTTTTAGGACTGAAGATACAGAGTTATCTATGCAGTAACTTCAAAATGGTGAAAAATTGCATTCTAGAAAACAATCTTTGCTTATTTTATTAATCTGGTCAGGTATGTCAAAGGAGGTCTAATAATCTCCAGATGCTGATGTTGTTTTGACAGTATTGACATGCAACTTTCCCAAATATTGCAGGAAAACCAGTCATGTTGTTCAACAGTCTTAAACACAAGTAAGTTAAACAAACCAGTTACCATAACTGGCTCACAGCTTTCACTATCTGTCTTTCCACTAAAAAATATCAGTTTATTACACCCCCTCCCCCATTCCTCTCTGTTATGAATCTTACTTAACTTCTAAGTTTCCATGGAGCACTCTCCTAAAAATAACACATTTTTATGACTTCTGGTTTTATCTTTTGAATGAAAGAGTCTCCCTAGAAATAAGAATCTGCTTCTAAGCACAAAATTTCACGCTTCAGTTTTCTTTCCTGTAAATATTTCAGAAAGTTTAAGAAATGAAAACAGTAAATACATTCTAGAATGCAAACAAACGCTGAAGAAAACAAACCTGGTTGTTTGGCTTCGAAAAAAGGGACACTCTACACACAGACATGCACATCTTTCTCTGTGATAATACACTATCTGAGAGAGAAAACAAACTTCCATCCACTGTCTCTCCTCCCTTTGGATAACTATTCTGTGGGATAATAGTCCAGTCCTCTCTGACGTGAAAAAAACCTCAACTCAACATGTAATACCAAATGAAAAAAAACTACCAAAGTGCTAAGTGGACAACACAGAGCTTATACAGGAAACCGTTCTACCCTTGTACTTAATGCCATTTTAACCACAGGTCTGATGCAAGGGTATCAGAGAAAAAAAAAAAAGATTTCCTGTCATGCTGAATAGAAGATTAACCCAGTTTTCAGGAAGTCCTTAGAAAGCATAATGTAAATAACTGAACAGAATAAAATACAAACAAATAAATGAAAAGAATTCATAGGATTTGGACCACAATGTGATCCCTGGGTATGTATAACTACTCCCTCAGCTGACATGAAATTTTTACTCTTGAAACTGAGGGTGAAGCTACTCCAAGCAAGATACAAAGAAAGATCTGTTTAAAGGAAATCAGGAGGTAGCAAACATGGATTTGTATTTGCTAAACACTGATCAAGGGCCTAGGAGGGCGTTGCTCTCTTAAATTTGTTTACTTCTTGCTATTTTGAGTCATTCAGCGGTATTGAGCTGTGATTTACAGGTGGGGCTGAGGGAGCTGTAGCAACCTTCCAGATACATGTGGTGCACCCTGTGTGCCTGCTCCTGGGTGATGGACCTCAGCAGGAACACCTTCCCAGCACATTGTGGCTTCATCTCACCGCATTTGGGGGTTCCCTGGTTGGACAACCCAAACCTTGTGAAGTGATTAAGATGGATTACAGAAAATATCAGGTTAAGCTGTAGATAAAAGGGTATTCTTGGTCCTCCTAGGCTTTTAAAGTACAGATCGCTGATATAACGTGTCTTCAAATTATGACCCAACCTCTATAAGCTTTTCATATGTACTCAAGACGGGGATTTTTCTTTGTGTTCTGACTTCCAAATGTATTCAGCAATTTCTGCATGCTTTCAGCCTGAGCTCACGGCAGTAACTCTTCCATTTGAGGAACTGCATGTCAAAGCACAGTCCTGGCACATCAGAAGGTCCTCTCAAAAGTTCAGTATAAGAAAGAACCCAAGTCTGCTTTCTGGGAAACAACTCAGTAGCAAATTAGGGCAAGTAAATTATTTTAGATCTCTCCTAAACCAGCTGTGCTTGACCTACACTTGAAACCGAATCCCCCCCCACAGGAAGGCTCACATCACACCTGTAGCACTGTGCCAGCACTGAATCCTCTGAACCAAAATGCAGAGGTGTGCAGATAAGGCTGAGACTATGAGAAGCATTTGTATTTGTATTAGGGTAGTGGTAAAAAAAAAAAAAAAGTGTACTTTTTAACAAAAAGACACAAAAGAACCACCACTGACCATTTCTTACCTGTGCAGAAAGATGCTCCTGCATTTGTCATACAGGATTCCAGCCAGAAATTTATTGCAGGAAGAAAGAGATGAATAAAACCAAATAATTAAAAGCTGCAGCCAGCTCAGTTTCTATTTCTTTTGTTGTGAAGTTCTACTAAAGGCACTGCTTTCTATGGAGAAATTTCAGCCTCTTATAACTGTTGCTCACTAGAGCAGAAGTCAATTAGACCCTAAAGATCCTATCCATTTATTGCTAAAGCTCTTTTTAACCAGACAATTGTAAGATAGGTAAATCCTATTTTCCCATTTCTAAAGACTACTCTAATGTTCCTATGATGAATCAATGGGACGTTCTTTTAATTAGTTGTTTCAAATCCAGTAGCTGCAGGAGAACTCTAATTTGGTTCCCAATGAAACCATTTGAAAAAAAATAAATGCTTAGAAACTCAGCATGGCTTTTAATCACTTTAATGGCAGCATTTTCTTGCTTTTGGTCCTAGGCTGAAGGGTGGTTTCTGAGCTCAGCCCTGATCTGTGTTTTGCACTGAGGATTCTTTGCACCATCTGCTCTCTGTTTTCTTCTATACTGTTATAAATTTCTTGAATTCAGTCTGAAAAGTTTCTTGGTCTTTTCAAATTTTTATTGAATAATGAAAGTTCATTCCTTATTTTATTATTTTATTATTTTATTTTATTCCTATTTTATTGTATTTTATTCTAAATGTATTTGCCTTCTCTCTATCAGAATTCTTTTTTTCTCATATGCTATATACAGGACAGAAAATGTGTATTTTAAATGATGACTGGATTACAGAGTCTTTTCTGTAGAAACTTTCTCTTTTTCTAAAGACGGCTTCCATTATCTCTAAGTGTCTGATTTCAAAATAGATGATCTGTAGGGCTTCTGAAGCTTTTTTTCTTTAGAGCATTTTCTAACTGTCTTATTTCTTTTTTCATACTGGTTAAAGTAGGTAAAGAACTGCCAGCATTTGTCTCCCTTTTCTAGGACTGAACAACTTTTATATGATGCCCATTCACGATGAAGAAGCTTCAGACCCAATGGCAGGTGACAACCAAAGCTCACCTGACATCTGTCTGTGCATGGAATACTCCCCCCCTCGTTACCTCTTTTCAAATCTTATTTCTCTGGTGAAGAGAAACCAAAGATGTTTCTATACCTCTACCATTACCAATAATAATGTGAATTGCATAATTACAGGGTATTCTTTCCTTCAGACCTCTACCTGTTTCAAGGTTCAGGAAAGACCATACTCACCAAAATTTAGGGGTTTACCACATGTTTTCTGACAGTTGAGAGTGGAAGAGATATTAATGCTGTAAGGATTAATTTATGTTGACTTGGGTTTCATGTTTGTGTTTGTTAGTCAGAAAACAAGAGAAAGCTTGTTTTCTTGTTCAGTAGGAGGAAAGGACTTTTTCAAGTTTATATCACAGGTTAATGGCACAAATTAAACCACACAGTAAACTCTGCTTAACACTGTAGAAGTTATGGTTATCTGATAATCCCACACCCATTGAACAAAAATGTTAGGAGGTTAATGAAACAGAATAGAGATGTACCAAGGTCCGATTTTCAAGTGGTTTTCTGGATGGTAAAAACACTCTTCGCAATTTTTCTATACCAGAAAATACTATTGTATTTATACAGTGTTTCACCAGCTGTAGTGGTTTGAACCTTGTTTTCCCCAGAGGCTAAGAGAAGTGGTAGACCCCAAGGGGTGGAAACCCCTGGAAGTTTTGAAGTTCTGCCCAATGGGCGCTCCTGCAGAAATGTAAACATACCACAACCAGACCGGAAAAGAAAGGTTGTAGTTTTGGTTGTGTAGGAGAGGTGGCCATGTTGTAGAGCCACGAGGAAGGGGCTCTGAGCCCCTTGGGGCCTCTGGCCCCCTCCCAGCCCCTGGCTGGGGGCTGCAGGGACCTGGAACAGCATAAAGCTGGGCTAGGTGCCTGTAGTTATGCCGGGAGATGTTTTCTCCATGGGCACAGAGCAGCAGCCGACACTGACCAGAGAAACGGTGGCAGAGAGCCAGAGATAAGAACCTGAACTGAAGAAGCAGCAGAAGCAACATGCAGCACTGCAGAGGAGACTCCTGGAAGGAGAGTCGAGGAAAGGAGAGCCAGCAGCTGAGAGCTACAGAGTTCTTGGGGGTAAGACTGATACCAGATCCCCAAAACTCCTTTGAGACCTCCTGGAAGGAGGAAGATGATGGACTCTTACTTGAAAGAGCCTTGAAGTGCGACATGCACTGTAGA